TGTTGCATTAAATTAAGCCTGTTTGGAATGTTATTCATCTCTCTCTGGTCTGTGTACATTATGCGCTCCATTGTAGCATTATGAGCTCCATTGTTGATCCGGCCATGCAAATCCTCTCCATAACCCAAAATGGCCGTCCGATAGAGTTTTGTTGATGAGTTCCTCTCGCTCGCCCACCAGGTACCTTGGAATGATGGTACATTAAAGTCTGTGTTCAGGAGTGGTCTGGACGATCCACTCTTCCTCCAAGCACCAGCAGCGACAAACCCAGGTGCAATATATCGATTATGTGCTATTGCTAGATGGTTCCTCCTTCACAGTGGGCAATGGTGGTGCCGGCGTAACTCAGTTGCTGATGCCCCAACCCCCTCCAGTTCTCCTAGTACCGTCAGTTTATTTTTCCGAGCCCACTCCAGTCCCAAAGTCTATCCCAGTGGGTGAAATCTCAGTTCCAGAGTCTCGTCTAGCCATGACCGTCATTCCAGAGTCGCATTTCGAATTGGCCGCTGCACTTGTGCCCCTGGGAGTACTGGTGGAATATGAGGGAATGTCTTGGAGCCCAAAAGTGACTCCAGTCCCCAAATTCAACCTAGACTTTGTTCCTGTCCCCGAACTCCGTCCAGAGTTGACAGTCCAATAAAGACTTCAGACTGCTCTCCAGCGTCCGGCCAGGAGCCCACTCAAGTCGCAGAGCTCGGCCAAGAGCCCATCTCTCCTTTGTCTCCGCTGGTCCCGTCCAGCCCTCCTTCGTCTCCTGAGCTCCCTGAGTTAGCCACCTCCGCTCCTCCAGAGCCCCCTCAAGTGCCCGCTCCTCCTGAGCGCCCCCCAGGATTCCTAGGATTCCTAGGTCCTAGGGGCGCTCAGGAGGAGCGGGCACTTGAGGGGGCTCTGGAGCTCCCTGACCCACTCCCCCTCCCTGATGTTGCTGTTGAGGTGCGCAACGCGCCTTCCGGGAGGGGCAAGTACGGTCACCAGTTCTGTCAGCTAGTCTGAACTTAATTTCCCATCATCCCTCCTGCTGCTCATTGTCACCAATCATCTAATCATGATCATCAGCTGTCTCTGATTCCACCTGCACTGGTTAAAAGGACTCGCGCCCCCCCCCCCCCCCCCCCCCCCCCCCACACAAACACCCCACCC